TCTTCAAATAACCTGCTGGCTGATGACAAGCAGCGAGACTCATTAATGCAACTGAAAAGAATGGCATGAATGTGTCCTGCTGTGAGTGTTGTGAACATAAGTTCCGACTTTTTTTTTTACAAGTGGTGTCACAATATGAGCAAATGATTTCGTACTGGGTGTAAACTCAGGGCGATTCACTCTTGCCTGGAGCAATGCTCCATGTTCACAGCCAACTAAAAATGGTTAAAGCAATGTTTACACGAGAGATGCATTTGACAATTCTAATTTTTTTTTTCAACGTTTATAAGTCAGTTGCTGTGAAAACTTGCACAACAAACCTTTAAAATGTTTCTTTTCTTGTCCAGGTCTTTTGGCCATTCCAGAAGATGCCGGAATATAGGCACCTGAAAATTAATTTCAAGAAAAAGCGTTTAACCTATACACTTTTGCTTTGTGCTATTAAAAGGGTTATAATGCAAAATTTAAAGACAGAAAGTTTGCAGTCAGAGAACAATGCAAAAATATCTAATTAATAGTATATATGATAATTAATAGCAACTAAATCTCAACTTTTTAGGGTGTCTGCACACACACAAACAGCTACAAGAGAACATGTTTCATACTATTTTCTTTCATCATTTTAGGTGGTGTAGGTGGTCTCGGATGTTTGTAGCTGTGGTCTTCACCTGAACTATCTGTCTCATGTTGGCTGTCGTAGTCATAAGGCAAGGCAGTTCTTTTTTTTTTCTTTTACCTCGGCCCAACTCTTCCTCCTCGCTCAGTTCTAAATAGTATTCCAAATGTCGCTGAATTTCTAATGCCTTCTCGTAAGTTTCTGAAAAATATACATATGAGTGCAGGGAACACAACAAGCATAAGTGCAATCATACCAGCCCAGCCTTACACCACAAAATTGGTTTGCGCTTAGACAGGTGATGGTGTTGCTCCCTCGGTGATGGCGCGACGAAGCTTTGTAGAACTTTTTATGATTGACCAATGCATCTGATTTTTACTCTCATTAAGCCACCACGCATACACAACAGCCAAGCTGTCATCTCCTTCAGGAAATTATACCACGGCAAATCTGCCAACTCAAGATACACGAAGAAGCAAAACATAAAAAATTACACAAGCGAGGCATCTAAGAAAAGCAACAAGCAACACAAAAGAGAAGGATGTACAAATAGTAACTAGTTTATGTAGCTTCATTCCATGCTTTTCTTTGTTCCTAATAGCTCAAAGTTACATAAAAGCTTATATAAAAGGTTAAATATACTAAATGTAGTAAAGTTTTGTACAGGGCAGAAAGAACCTAACTGCAGCCACACTTCTGATAATGGCAGACTGCTGAGCTTGGAAAGAGCACATGCCTTTTAAAAATATTATAAAGTCAGAAGCAGCTAGTAAAAGGGCACAAACTAAAATTACAAAACGAAAATATAACTCTAACAAATATCTTTCCATGTGTCTCATTGGAAATACAGCATACTTCCTCCTGAAAGGCAGCCTTACACATTTCAGTGCGATATCCGAAACAGGCCAGAAGCAGAGCTCTGAAAGCTTGGGAGCTAAAAATATGTTCATGAAAGAGGAGTTGCATGGATAACTGTAAAGGTCTTCCAACTTTTCATACTTTCTCCCAATAAGCACAGGCTGTAGGCTAACATCACAAATTGCAAAGTTCTCCACTTTGACAACACTATTATCATGTAACATGCACGTGCAGTCTTTCTTGTTCGCTTTTATAGTGACATGTTGAGAGAACTTGAAACCTTTGAATTGAGGTCCTACACAACCTAGTGGAAGCGGTCCATTATCATGCCTTAAAAGCAGCTTTTGAGCTTCTGTGAAGCTTCCATTGCTTGGATTATTAGCAACGGAACTTTCTGATCTGCCAACCATGCCAGCCAATGCTTGCTCTTCCATAAATCTATTGTAAAGCTGATGGACAAGCTTTTAGGGCTTTCTGACATACTTTTTGAGCCTAGGCATGTAGTTTTCAAAAGGGAAAGCGCTGTATCTATGCAGAGGTCCATGAATTCGAACATCATCCACGATGTGCACCTAACAGTGAACATTCAGTGAAACAGCGTGATTGCCATATATGTAATAAATACATTAACAAAGTGCACTAACAAGTTCTCTGCATACTCCAGGTGCTTGGTACATGACAGCGGACTGCACAGAATGCTCATAGCTGTATGCAATGCCATGAAATTATCTGCCACTTGGTCAGGTACATTTGATCTTAAGACCACTGGACCAGTATAGAGCAAAAAAAGACGGAATTCTGAAGCCATCCACCTGTCAATATCTGAGAGGCTTCTGGGCTTTCGGAACATCTCTGATGGCACATAGTGCCGTATTTCAGTGTTTGCTCCAGACACACTCTCTCTTGATTTTTTCCCAATTCTGTAAGTTTTCTCCCCTTTCATCCATAGCAGCAAGAGCTTATGAACACCACCTAGACATGCAAGGTGCATGTAGTCAAGAGGCACCTGCTTCATCAAGTCTATTGGAAGCTCCTTGAGGATTGTATCCGAAAGGTGGTGATCTTCTTGATCTGCATCCCAAAAGCTTGAATCTGTTCGCAATGGAGCATTAAGTTCGGGAAAGCACATACGACCATGCTTATAGTCTCCTTCTGTTGTGCACTTAGGACAACTGAAGTAAGCACTGTGGCCCTTAATGCCAAGAATATAAGCCTTAGCTGGAGCATCACAGATTATTGCCTCAAGTTCCACACGGATAACCCTGTCTTTCACAGAAACACCTTCATGTACGGCTGCTTTCATATCCAACCCAAAGTGACGCAGGAAGACATTTGGCTCTAAAGCCTTGGACTGTCCATAATAAATACCAATTGAAAATGGTGTACTGCCTTCATAATTTGCTGCTCTACAGAGAAAGGGCCAAAACTGGTCTCGAGTGCTTTTGGTCAAGGGAAGCCTATCTACATTGATATAAAGAATGACTGGGTCTGGCACAGACATAACATTTTTCAAAGCGTCCTGAAGACTTCCACTCAAACCAAAATGACAGTATTGGCCTGAACCCATTGGTCTAACATTTTCTGCTGACCTTGGCGTTGACAAAAGAGCCCTAGCAGTTTTCGGGAAGCTAGAAAAGCAAGTGTGCGAGCGCGAAACCGGCAATAAACCTGTGACAGTAACATGTGGTATGTCTCTCTCTATGCACGAAACCTGCAACCTTTCTTTAAACGAGAGTGCATTTGGTTGCTGTCCAGTAAATTTGCTGCCTCATGGAGAGCTCGGCTCTCCATCAGAACTGTAAGCGCAAGGCTCGCGATCACCTGAAGGGCTGTTAATACTTGAATGAGCGTCGTCAGTGCTCACATCAGCTTGCGGAAATTCATGCGTGGAAAGTGTCCGACAATCAAGCCCAGCAACAGGGTTGGACAATGAGGCCGGCGGAGTTACTGTGCCATCAATATCGCAGTGAGAACTGGAGGTATTAATTACGCGCGAATTTGTTTATCCAGCCAACAGTATGTCATTTAGATCGTTCTGCACAGCACGGCGCACGCGCCGGTAGGTAGTCATTCGAGGCACATAGGCCATGGCCTTTACGATCGCGGTGTCAGTCAACACGCATGGCAGACAAAAGCAGTACACCAATAAATTACTAAATAGTTACCTACAGCGTACTGACATCGCATAAATAAAATTGTAACCACAACAGTTTACGCGGAAGATAATATAAATCGCATTACAAATAAAACTTACTCTCACAGGCTATGCTTGCTGCAGCGGTCCAGTTAAGAACACTACGCGGTGGGGAGACAAAGAAGAAAGTGCTAAAAATGGGCAAATTGCCGTAACACAGGCATGTATAATGCTTACCGAAGAGGTCAAGATGCGATGAAAACGGGAGGATCTTGCAAGATCATGCAGCAAACACAGCATGCGCGTTCAGAATTTTTCGAAGACGATGCCAACGAGGCTTTGACAGTATCACCTATGCACACTGTAGTGACATCGAGCTCCTTTGACACTGCCAAGCCGACCAACACGTTGTTAAAGTGAGCTAGAATTCTAGCTCACTTTACCGTTGTTGAACGCACATTGCCGCCATTTCTGCAACTTGATGGCGATGGCGATAGAGCTATACCCATTGGATCGGGTCGCCTTTAAAGCGCAATGTAGCCCGAACTGCTGCGCTGTGCAGTGAGCTAGAATGACAACAGTTACTGCTACCCAGCCACGAGTTTCTTGATTTCCAGGGAAACGACAGTGCGACAGCTATAGGGAAAAAAAGATAAACTATTTCACAAAAAAGCACGATACAAAGTTTACTATTTCTTGTGTGTGTGTGCATGTAGATACACATTGTGCACGCGCACGAACCGTGAACTCCGTTGGAATCGAAGTTTCCGATAGATGGCCAATTTTCAATACTGTGAATTCACCGCTAACTTGAACTACCAAAGAGAGCCCACAGATAATGTTTTAGAAATGATCCCTGTGCACATCTTCAAAGCACATCTTAAAGGGGTCGTGAAACGCTCCCTCTAAAGCGACAACGTGAAGCCACCGGCGTCCACACGCACTAAGTGACGTCATCATAAGTAATGCTTTGCCTATCGAGAAACGCGGAACTTTTCGGTACTTGCGAGTACGTGAAACCGGGCCACCCATTGGCGTCTTTGTCATATGCAATCGGCCCTACCTTGAACTCTGACGTCATATTAAAAAGCGTTCTGGTGGGACGCGGATCGCGTATGGCAGACGCCGATGAGCGCCTCTTCCGTGCGCTCAATAAGCCGGTCCACTCGGGCTGATGATATAGTTAGCGCATGTGGCTGCCGATGGTGTCGCATTGTCGTTGTAAAGCGACCGTTTCACGACCCGTTTAATAACCACCCTGTTGGGATATCCCCTACACACATGTTCAAGGGACATCTGAAAAACTCACCCTGTTGAGTTGTGGAACATTGGAATCTTTTTGGGAAGTCCTTTGGATGTTCGTGTTGTCTGGGTTGCAGGCATAACAACGCCATGCCGTGCGACACGGACCACTTCTACGCTCACTGTGGCGACGACGCACCCGACGACAGCGAGCAGCACGACAAGCTGCGGACGATCATCGTGTTTCACGCGGAGCTGTTGCAGTACCAGGAAGAGGTGATCGCCGATCGCGAGAGGCAGATCGAGGAGCTGCGCATACAGCGAGACGAGCTTCAAGAGCGGCTCCGACGACTGGAGGTGTGCGTCGCGCATGTCGCCTGCCAGACGGAGGAGCCGTTCGTGGACGCCCGGACGACGCTGCTGGCCAACGAGCTGCTACCCCGCGAAGCACGCAGCGCTGCGCTGGCTCCATCAGTCGAAGAGTTCGAGGTCACTCGGTGCGAAATCCAAGAGGTGCCCATCGTACCTGAAGAGGAGACAGCTGTCCAAGAGCATCGCGGCCACTCGCCCCTCCCGAAGGCCACCGCTGACCGACCGCCGGCGGCCGAGCCGACGCGTGTCGAGGACGCCCTCGTCCAGAATCAGCTGCAGGCCGAGCCTGTGCCGCCCCGTCCTCCCCGTGGTCCCCCTCCTGCGGCCGAGGACGAGGAGCGCGCCCAGGAGGCGCCCGCCGAGGGCCCTGCAGCCCCCACCGAGTCGTCTTCCCAGGAGGCTGCCGCCCCTCCCGAGCCATCATCCGCCAGGAATGCCGCCCGCAAGAGGTCTGTTGCTGCTCATGAAGAACCTGGCAGGCTGTTTAACAACAACCAGGCTTACGCTACAGCTGCCTGTGCCGCCGGTCCCCCGCCCTCTTCCGAGGAAGCTGCAGCCGAGGCCATCGAAGTTCCCAAATGGAGGGAGAACCCTGTCGCCAGCCTTTACTCTATGGAAGGCACCGAGAACCTCGACGATGAAATCTTCCGAAAGAGGCACGCGAAGCCTGAGGCAAATGAAAAGAGGCGCAAACGGTGGGACCTGCGACTACTTCGCGAGCAGGAGCGCACTGAGCGGCTGCGGCGAAGGATGGAGCGACGGACGGAGAAACCGCCGACGTGCCCTCCGACTTTCTGTGGGGACCTCGAACAAATCCACACTGTGGAAGTCGTCGACGAGATACCAGTGCAGGCCTTCGGACAAGCGATACCCGAGCTACAGCCCCAGGAGTTTCAGTTGCCGTGGGAGAAGTGGCACGACGAGACAGCAAAGAAGCCCAAGCGACCCCGGCGAAAACTCAAAGGTCTGAAACACTAATGTGAGTTGTCTTCGCACTCACTGCAGCAGGTCCATCAAAAATTGAAATCTGTGCATTGATTACTGGGTTCTGCAAAGGCAGTTTCGTACAGTTGTGTGCAGGAAGAAAAAATTAGACTTTGTACCTATCAGAGACACCAAAAAGATTTTTTGTTGTGTATTCGTTAATAGCTCTTTCACAAATTCAGAAAACACCATGCTTGCTGCAAGGACATTTGCTAAGGAAAAAATTCGAGAGAAGAAAATGTAGGTGGTGACACCACCTTGAGATTTGCAAACAGTGTCTACTCAATCCTATCTATTGCGAATGTGTAAAAAGGAGGTAGTCCTCCGAGGCACCCTTACAGCTGACTTAGCACGTTTCAAAAACTCATTAAGCCAATGTTGCCAAAATACAAGCAATATGCATTGAAATCTGTAACATCAAGCACAGATTTCTGTGTGAAATTTAAAAATGACACTGTGACCCGGAGTATTTCTGTTATAAACTAGTGACAGTGTAATTAATGACTCTAGTCCTCAAAGTACAACTCATTCATACAAAGAAGTTCATTGTTTCACTTTGTGCATTTAATACACAAGTTATTTAGATAATAACATTGGAAAGGTGCAGCAACAGCGTAGTGGTTAGAGCATCCGCCTCGCATGCAAAAGGTCCGTGGTTCAAAAATTCCGGTGCAGCGCAGTTTCCAACCGGATAAAAAAAATACGCGTGGTGATGTAACTGCATTAAGAGGCCTGGGGTGCGGCCTCACCGGTAACCACCGCCGGGAACGCACTCCCTCACCAGAGGATTGGCCACTACCTCCCACATGCATACGTCAAATAACTCGCGGCCCTCAGCCCCAGCAGCTGCAAAGCAACTGACCATGGCAGCGGTCAGATCTGCAACGCAGCAGAGGGTGCTAAGAATCTCTGGATCCGGACAGGCCGCCAGTGGAACCTGAACTTGGCAACGTTTAACGCTAGAACCTTATCTAGTAAGGGCAGTCTAGCTGTACTATTCGAGGAGCTAAAGGGTGTTAAATGGGATATAATAGGGCTCAGTGAGGTTAGGAGGACAGATGAGGCTTATACGGTGCTACATAATGGGCACGTCCTTTGCTATAGGGGCTTGGCTGACAGAAGAGAACTGGGAGTGGGGTTTATAATTCACAGAAACATAGCTGGTAACATACAGGAATACTATGGCATTAATGAAAGGGTGGTAGGTATCGTAATTAAATCGAATAAAAGATACAAGATGAAGGTGGTACAGGCTTACGCGCCTACATCCAGCCATGATGACGCCTCAGTTGAAAGCTTCTATGAAGACGTGGAATCGGCAATGAGTAAGGTAAAAACACAGTATACTATACTGATGGGAGACTTTAATGCAAAAGTAGGGAAGAAGCAGGCTGGAGACCAGGCAGTAGGAGACTATGGCATCGGTACTAGAAATGCCAGATGAGAGTTACTAGTAGAATTCGCAGAACGCAATAATTTACGGATTTTGAATCCGTAAATTATTGCGAAAACGAAAACGAGGAAACCGCAAGTGGACATAGAGGAGCCCTAATGGCGAAAATAAGAACGAAATAGACTTTATAACGAGTTCACACCCAGGCATCGTGCAGGATGTGGAAGTGGTTGGCAAGGTACGATGCAGTGACCAAAGAATGGTACGGTATCGAATTCGCCTAGACTTGAAGAAGGAACGCCAGAAACTAATACGCAAGAAGCCAATCAATGAGCTAGCACTGAGAGGGAAAGTACAGGAATTCAGAGTCTCACGTCAGACCTGGTACTCTGTTCTTAGTGAGGAAACTAACCTTAGCGTGGATACAATGAATGATAATCTGACGAGTATCATTACGGAGTGTGCAGTGAAAGTTGGAGGCAGGGTAGTTAGACAGGACACTGGCAAGCTTTCCCAGGAAACGAAGAATCTCATTAGGAAGCGTCAAATCATGAAAGTCTCAAGTACAACAGAAAAATAGAACTGGCAGAGCTTTCAAAGTTGATTAATAGGCCTAAGGTATACGATGTGAGAAGGTATAACATGAAGAGAATTTAACACGCTCTGAAAGACGGAGGAAGCGTCAAAACAGTGAAGAGGAAACTTGGGATAGGCGAAAATCGGATGTATGCACTAAGGGACAAAGAAGGCAAAATAACTACCAATATGGATATGATAGTTAAAATAGCAGAGGAGTTTTACAGAGATCTGTACAGTACCTGGGATAACCATGGCCTTAATACTATAACAACTAGCAGTAACCCAGATGACACCCCACCAGTAATAATAGAAGTCAGAAAAGCTTTGGAGAGCATGCAAAGAGACAAAGCTGCTGGTGAAGATCAGGTAACATAAAATCTGCTGAAAGATGGAGGACAGATTGTGTTAGAAAAACTAGCCACCCAGTTTACGAGATGTCTTTTGACGGGAAGAGTACCAGAGTCTTGGAAGAACGCTAACATCATCTTAATACATAAGAAAGGAGATGACAAAGACTTGAATTACAGGCCGATCAGCTTGCTCTCTGTAGTATACAAGCTATTTACAAAGGTAATTGCTAACAGAGCACAGAAAACATTACAATTCAATCAACCAAAGGAACAAGCAGGCTTTCGAACAGGCTACTCAATAATCGACCGCATTCACACTATGAATCAGGTAATAGAGAAATGCTCAGAATATAACCAACCACTATACATAGCCTTCTTAGATTACGAGAAGGCGTTTGATTCAGTAGAAATATCAGCCGTCATGCAGACACTGCGGAATCAGGGCGTCGATGAAGTATATATAAACATCCTGGAAGAAATCTACAGGGGCTCAACTGCTACCATAGTGCTTCATAAAGAAAGCAACAGAATACAAATGAAGAAGAGTGTAAGGCAGCGGGATACAATCTCCCCAATGCTATTTACCGCGTGCTTACAGGAGGTTTTCAAAAACCTAGAATGGGAACAGTTAGGAATAAGAGTTAATGGAGAGTACCTTAGTAACCTGCACTTTGCGGACGACATTGCATTGCTGAGTAACTCAGGGTGACGCATTGCAACTGATGATCACGGAGTTAGACAAGGAGAGCAGAAAGGTGGGTCTTAAAATTAATCTGCAGAAAACGAAATTATTATACAACAACCTCGGAATAGAGCAGAGCTCTGATATAAATAATAGTGCACTTCAAGTTGTAAAAGAGTATGTCTACTTAGGGCAGGTAATAACCGCAGAGCCGAACCATGAGATTGAAGTAACTAGAAGAATAAGAATGGGGTGGAGCATATTTGGCAAGCACTCTCAAATTATGACAGGTAGAATGCCACTATCCCTCAAAAGGAAGGTATATAACAGCTGTATCTTGTCAGTACTTAGCTACGAAGCAGAAACCTGGAGACTTACAAAGAGAGTTCAGCTTAAGTTGAGGATGACGCAGCGAGCAATGGAAAGAAAAATGGTAGGTGTAAACTTAAGAGACAAGAAGAGAGCAGAGTGGATTAGGGAACAAATGGGGATTAAGGATATCATAGCTGAAATGAAGAAGAGGAAATGGACATGGGCCGGGCATGTAGTGCGTAGACAGGATAACCGCTGGTCATTAAGGGTAACTAACTGAATTCCCATAGAAGGCAAGCGGGTTAGGGGGAGACAGAAGGTTAGGTGGGCATATGAGATTAAGAAGTTTGCGGGTATAAATTGACAGCAGTAAGCACAGGACCGGGTTAACTGGCAGAACATGGGAGAGGCCTTTGTGCTACAGTGGACGTTGTCAGGCTGATGATGATGATGATGTAAAAATAACGGCTGTCTTAAGGGGCATTGCATGGATAATGCGAATGGGCCGGTGAAGTGCGACTTGAATACGTGTACTTGTAAACACACACACACATGCACGCGCGCGCGCGTAAGTGTGTGTTTGGGAGGAAGGGGGGTCTTTCATTAACACCGATATTCAAGGCACGTGTGACTATCCCAAGATGTTTCGCAGTCGGGGCTGTACGACACGAGATCTTTACCGCGCACGATCGCAACATTTATCACCCTTCTGGGTGCAATTACGTTGCTCTGAGAGCGCCACAGCATGTCACAGCATGTACAATATCCCACAACAGCCACGGATCGCATTACCATGAGGATTATATAACACTGTTCCAATTTTATCACTAATGCTTCATCCCTTGGGCGAGAGACATCACGCCAAAAAGATTCTAACACTATGGCAGAATGCGGCGCGCGTAGGGGCGGGCCCACAGAACAGATGTGTTAAAGAGAATTTTATTTCTGAAAGAAGCACACATACACAGACATTTATGTGTTACATTGTTCGTTCTCAAGACATTGCTAATATATCTTTATTAGGCAAATTTCTTGCCTGAAATGGGCTCTGTTGTGCCAGAACAATGGCTAGCAATACCCCTTAGATCTCCTTGGTGCAATTTGTCCATACCTGGATAGAGCAGATATGTAGTAAAGCAAACGTCATAAGGCATGGCTTTGGCTAGGCACAATTTCGCAAACAGCGTGACGAGGGCCAGTATAACGCTTGCAGCTCCTCCTGCGTAGACGATGGGGGAGACTCACTGTGTACCTGGATTACCGACTCCAGCAATGAAGACGGCAACAGACCAGGCTTCACAGAATGCTTGAAAGTAGAAGCAGGTGTTCCAATATCTTTCACTGACAGGCAAGATAGCATTGTGGGTCAGATGGCTATGGTGACACTAACGTTGGACTCACCTGTGAGCCCATTTTAGCAGCAGTTGCTGATTTTGCTTTGTTGCAGTTCTGTTGGGTGCACTGGTGGCCATTTCGATATGCTACATGTTGTGAGCCAGCTGTAGAACATGGCTCTTGGGTAGGTGAACTACTGCATCCAGCAATCTCAAATCAGTGATTAATTACTTCAAGTAATCTTTCTCTGACATAGAAAATAAGTTCGATTTCATTTTGTGGCATGTCTATGCTTCCCTTTATTTTCTTGTTTCACCTTGGTTCAATTGTGGATTCGCTTAAT